TGTACTACACAGAACTGCAGTAATACAGTTAAGAGAAAAACACTGGAAAAATGCTGAGTATCAGTATTGGCAAAGAAGTAAGATTCCAACTATGCATTTTCAAGATTCATTGCCTAGATTACCAATACCGAAATTAGAAGATACATGTAAAAGATATTTAGCAGCTCAGAAACCACTTCTAAGTAAAGAAGCATTTGAAAAAACCAACAGCTATGTTACAACCTTTCAAAATAATAATGGAAAAAAACTGCAAGAAAAACTAATACAAAGTGATAAGAAAAATAAACATACCAGTTATATTTCTAAACCATGGTTTGATATGTATTTGAGTGATAGAAAACCTTTGCCTATTAACTACAATCCAACGTTAATTTTTCATAATGATCCAAAAGCTGGGTTCAATGATCAATTACTGAAGTCAGCAAATATGATAATAAGTAGTGCTCGTTTTTTTAAGTCTTTGAATGATAATTTATTGGAACCAGAAGTGTATCATTTAAACCCCAAAAAAAGTGATACTGAAGCTTTTAGAACAGTATGTTCGTTGGTCCCTTCTTTTATCTCTTGGTATGTTGCATACTTGTACAATGCATATCCGCTTGACATGAGTCAATATCACAATCTTTTTTATTCTACTAGAATCCCTGAATTAAATAAAGACAAGATTTTGCAAGATTACAAAGCAAAGCATGTTCTGGTACAATTTAAGGGGCAATTCTTTACTTTTAATGTTTTTGATGAAAGTGGAGATATTTTGCCTGCTAATGAAATTCTTTCAAATTTGAAATATATAATTAACAGTAGTAATGTCACATCTGAAGAGTTCCCTCTTGGCATTTTAACTACACTTGAGAGAAACAAATGGGCATCTTTAAGACAACATTTGTTGTCTTTGGGAAATGAAAAACAATTAAATGCAATTGATAGTGCATTTTTTAATCTCTGTTTGGATGACACTGAAGTTAATTTACAAGATGTTCTAACAGATGAAGCTTATGCCACTTTATCAAGACATTATATTCATGGAGATGGAAAAAATAGGTATATAAAATTCTAAATTTAAAAAGTACTAGTATGTTAATTGTATTACTGTTTAGGTGGTTTGACAAATCATTTTCGCTTATTATTTCTAAAGATGGTGTAGCAGGCCTAAATTTCGAACATTCTTGGGGAGATGGTGTAGCTGTTCTGCGCTATTTTCAAGACATTCATCAAGATTCAATTGAAAATCCTCAGGTTACCTCAGCTACTCAATCATCTACTGAATTGTCATATAAACCCCAAAAGTTAGGTAACATACAATTTTTTTCATTTTTTTATGATATTTGAAAGTTGTTCCATTTTTAAAGTGTTTAACCTGGATGATAAAATGAAGAAAGAAATAAAAGATGCAATAGAAAACTATGCAGATATTTGTAATAGTTTAGAAGTTAATGTTTTTCAAATGTTTGGTATTGGGAAAAATGAATGTAAGAAGCTTAAAATAAGTCCTGATTCCATAATGCAGCTTGGTTTTCAGGTAAGGGTTTTCTATATTTTTCTACATATACTTAAAATATTTAGCTTTCAGGATGCTTATTTCAAATTAAAAGCAGAGTGTGTTCCTTCATATGAATCCTGTAGCACTGCTGCATTCAAACATGGAAGAACAGAAACGATTCGACCTTGTACTATTAAGACAAAGGTTATTATAAACAAATATATGTTCATAGTCAATATTTATTGTTTTAGGAATATAGTGAAACAATTAATTCAGAACATTTTTCAAAATTGGAAGCATTTCATCTGATTGATGAATGTTCAAAATATCATGCAAAATTAACGAGAGAAGCTGCTATGGGCCAAGGTTTTGATAGACACTTATTTGCCTTAAAACTTCTTGGAGAACAAGATAATATTGAAAGTGATATTTTTAAAGATAATGCTTATTCGGCTATTAATCAGAATATTATTTCTACCAGTACATTAACTTCCCCCAGAGTCTTAGCAGGGGGTTTTGGACCAACAGTTTATAATGGATTTGGCATTGCGTTAGTTATTATTCTCAAGTTATCTTTCATCTAGTATTATCATGATCATTTTTCAGATATTCCATAAGAGACGATTCCGTAGGAATGCTTGTAACGAATAACGGTAAAAATGTAATTGGAAAAGATTACATTTACTGTCTTGAAAAATCTTTCAAAGATCTACGAAATATACTTCTGCATAAACTGAAAGCCTAACTGAGGAAAGTGCCTTAAATAGTTTTCCATTTTTTTTATCTACATTTTACATGTTTATTTTTGAAGGAATAAATGACTTAATATTAAGTTTAAATATCATCTTATAATAGCATAAACGCCTCTTTTCAAAAATTATGAACCTATAGGTAATAATTATTATTTAATAAAATAGCATAAGGTTGAAGTAAAACAATTTTAATCAAATAAAAATTTTTCGAAGCAAGGAAAAAAATAATACTGACGTCTGAAATAATTTTGTACACATCAACTATTTTACTGAAAACAATGATACAACTAATAAGTGTAATTATATACAAGTTACTTATGAAAAATTATAAATACAACGTGCAGTAATATTTCTCACATTAACAATTTGATACAGCTAATTTCTGAACTATTTGGCTATAATATATATGTATGTATAACTGTTGATGAGAACAATAACAAAAAAGTTATCTTTAATGTGTACTATCGCCCATTGATACCTTAGAAACCTGAAATGGAAATAAATCTCTTTAGTTGTTCATGAAGTATAGTTAGACTTACCATATAAATTCCCACAATTAATCCAAAAAGTCCTATAGCACTTCCAAAAATTTCTACAATCAAAATTTTAACAAATAGTGCTGAATTTGCAGCATCAGCTAAAGCAGCTCCAGAGCCCACAATTCCTACACAAACGCCACAAAATAAATTCACAAAACCGACTGCAATGCCAGCTCCAAACATAAGATAGCCTGCCATCCAATTCTTTTCTCGAATGTCTTCATGCTCTCTAATTACTTTCCAAGAGAAATCCTGATAATCAAAAATTCAATATTAAATTAATGGCACGTTTCACAAATTTTTACCTCTAAATTTCCAGACAACACTATTGCTGTTATTAAACCATATATAGCTACTGCTTCACAAAAAATTACAGAAATTAAATTTTTTGTTTTTATTCTGGGAGCCTTTACACCTCCTCCAATAATACTAACACCTGTTGTATGAATTCCTCTAAAAAATTAGCTTAATTACCTGTGTACATTGCTATGAAACACAAGGGAATATTACTTACAAAGCAGCCCCTACTACTGATAATGCTACTGAGAGTCCAATACCAATAGTGGCCCACATATGAGGGGTTGTTTCTTCAAGAAACCTATAAAAACAAGTCATTCATTGATTATGACTGTCTAATAATATTAATTAATACATACCAGCCAACACTTATTCTTTCGCCCTTTCCAGTGAGCACATGATAAAGTGCTAAGTGATACAGATAGATCATTAGTAAATATTAAAGAAATGTTGAAGTTACTTACTCAGAATCGTTATTGTTGATAAACCCACTGTAGCAAAAACTTTACCTAGTAACATCCTCATTTTTATAATTTTCGATTACAAACATAAACCAATATAATGAACAACTTCAAAAGTCGTCACGTGAAATTAGGAGTGGTATTTACTTGCTTTATTTCACTTTATTCGCAAAAGAAACCAATCATTAAATACCCTCCCCTTCTTTCAATATATTCGGAAGATCTGTCAAAGTATAACCGATTAACTTTATTAGACCTAAACACTCTTGGATATAATTCTCAGAATTTATAACTGCAGGAGAATAAATTTTCAGTTTAATTTATTATAATTTATTTTAATAGACTATACAATCTTACTCGATACTCAGAATGTAATAACTACATTAATAACGCAGATATTAAACTGATAGTTTTTGAAAATAATTTACACTGTGTTACCCATAGATCCTTTAGATGTCTGAAAGAAATAATTACTCATATTAATTAAGGTAAATTGTAATTATTTTTGGTGATATACTCTAGTTCATTTAATTTCTCTGTGTATCTTATGCTGTTATTTTAAAAACACATTTAAATGTTTCAAAATTTGAATGTGTATTTATCATCGTTTTATTAACAGTACAACTGGGTACTGGGTCCATTTTTCCCAATATGGTCGTGAATTACTTATAAATAAACCTAACGTTTTATAATTGAACTAAACTATAATAACACTTGTTGTATTTGCAGATAAAGTCTTTTAAATTAAGATAAAAACATTTAAAAAGACTTACCATATAAATACCAACGATAAGTCCGAATAATCCTATGGCACTTCCAAATATCTCCACAATAAGGATTTTTACAAATAAGGAGGAATTTGCAGCATCTGCTATAGCTGCTCCAGATCCCACAACACCAACTGCTAATCCACATACTAAATTTACAAAGCCTACAGTTGTTCCTGCCCCAAATATTACATGACCTCCCATAATATTTTTTGCCATAAGTTCTTCATTTGAATTGACTAGGTCTACATTAAATTCCTACAAAAGGTAATAAATTTGTATTTAATATTTTATTTGAACATGCAGCTTAATTGTGAGCCTTACAGACAGGGAATTGGAGAAAACTATAGCCGTAATTAAACCGTAAATGGCTACTGCCTCGCAAAAAATTATAGAAATTAAATTTTTTGTCTTAATTCTCGGCGCTTTTACACCAGCCCCTATAATACTGGCACCTGTAGTATGAATACCTCTGAAACCATTAAAAAATTATTGAGTTATTCTCATCTATTTTTAAATATACATTAACTTACAAAGCTGCACCTACTACAGAAAGTGATACAGCGAGACCTACTCCCGTTAAACCCCACATATATGGGGAGCTATTCTCTAAGAACCTGTATTATTAAAATATTACTAATATTTTGGAACAAACGTATTTGTTTTTTACTTAAAGATAATTTTAGTACTTACCATGCTAAACTAATTTGTTCTCCTTTACCAGTGAGTACATAATAAAGAGCTAAAAATATTTCAAGAATAAGTATAACGTATCTTTTTAATTTTAATAAACTTAAGTCACATGCTTTGTCAAGCACACCTTATTTAAAATTTAATAAGATAATTCTGTAAAACTTACCGAATACTGTTAGTGAAATTGTTGTGAAAACGATAAATGTTTTTAACAATAATCCTCGCATTGTGAATTATTAAAAAAAAAATAAGTAAATAACAAGCTAGCTCCTACACAAGGTAAAATTGAAAATTTTACATCACCGTTGCAC